GTACAGAATAAAGGCAGGTACTTGCATCTGCTGTGCTGTAAAGTAGAAAATTGCATTTTTAGAGGGCTAAATTTAAATTCTAAGCATGTGAACAAAGGGTAAAGAACTCCCAATATCCAAAAAATGAACAGCTCTGGATCAGCTCCTGGGATTTCAAGCAGTGCAGTGCTGCTGGTTGTTTTCTTTAACAGAGTTGCGAAACAAAATCAAAATATCGTGTTCAATGGATTGTTTGCTAAGTTTCCAGACTTTCACTCCTTTTTCATCTTCTGTTGAGAAATGGCGGTGTCCTGTATCAGTGTGCAGGCTGGAGGGCAGCAGGGCTGGTTTCAGTGTAGACGCTGAGCCAGTTTCCCAGGGCGGGTCATGTGGATGGACCTGCGGTTCGGGCTCCCGGTCCTGCTCTCGCCCTCATACGCGAGAGGTCAGACAGGCTGGGGCAGAGGGGCGCTTGGCAGGGCTGTGGGCTGGCGGCCCCTCCCCCCTCCCCCCTCTTCCCGTCTCTCTCCCCAGGGACGTTGGAGGCCCAGCCTCACCTTCGCTCTCTTCTTTTCATCGTCGCTGCAAAGGGCACAGCCAACATCTGAAAACTAGGTTTTCAGTTTTATCTGTAGGATGTGTATGATTGCTACGTTCAGATTAAGGTCGTATCAGTGTTACTTATGCTGTGTTTTATTTGTCAGAGTTAGAAAAGGCTGCATTTGACAGCTTTTTTATCGAGTGATGGCATTTGTTCTGTATTCATTTCTTTGTATATGAAATGCAGTTTCAGTTTTTCCTCTGTGCAAACAGCTTTCTGGCCATTATATCCACTCTGCCGGTAGTGCTCAGCCTGCGTGTTCTTCTGTTTTCTGTTTGGACCACTGAAGAGACTTAAATTGATCATTTGATTGATAGAAGCAGTAGGGGATAATGTTCAGGCTGAACCAAAAATACTGTGGCCCACATGAGCAGAACTGCACCAGTTGGCACATGGTCGTACTTGCAGGTGTGGTGATTCTGAATTATACTTGAACCATAATATGGGAATTGAAAGAGCGATGGAACCTGTAACAGTACCACGCTGGAGTAAAAACTGTGGAATTAGCTAGAACTCCAGCAGTAGCTCTGGCAGTTTCACCCTAGTGCAGCCTGAGCTGTTGGATTTTTGCTTTTGGTTTTCTGTTCTCATTTTGAAAGCTAATCTTCACACCCCCTGCAGATCTGGGGGATTGCTTTACAGCACTGTGGACAGTCTGCAGAAAACAGTACCTGTAAACCGAAAGCAATAATCCCAGCACTCTTCAGCTGCAAATAGAGCTCAATGTGAGCCTACTTCTCCAACAGCACATGGTTTTGCTTGGCTTATGCCCCCCCATGTGCCTCAGGGCTGACCTCTGTAGCAGAGGGTAGCCCTGGTCTGTGATGCAGGGAGCACGTTTCAGGACCCTCTCCGGCCCACAAACACAACACTAGACCCAGCCAAAACAGCAGCTGAACAATGTTTATACAGAGCCCAGCTGACAGTCTTCTAATGATCCCCGCTTCCTTGAAACAGCACGCACCAGGGATTTCTGGCACGGCTCAGCTGGGCCGCCAGGCTGGACGTCTCTCCTGGCTGAGGAGCTCTCCTCTCACGGGCTACATAGGAGTGGAGTTTCTTCTTCAGTTGAAAACCTTCTGTCATTTCTCTCTAGCCCGGTTCTCTCTCAGTCCAGAGCACTCAGTTTAAATTTCCCCTGCTCCGTTGTACACATCCAAGAGTGTTCCCTGCTCCAGTCTGGGAATGCTGGAAACTTCCTCTGTGATACCAGCTGCTGTCCTATGAAATTTATCAGCCTGATTTGGTATTGGAAGTGTATATATACATAAAAAGTCTAGTGTAAGACTAAGATTATATATGCACATACTGTATATATATAATCTTCATTTCATATAACTGCTTAAATGATGTATATATTGATTTTACATAAATCGTCTCGACCCCCAACACAAACTATGCAAATGCAGAACTGAGGTCTAAAGTTCTTAATCAAATATTTCAAACTTAATCTTGAATCAATTGCAGAAAACTTGAACAAAAGTGTTAGCAGAGAATTTTCAGTGTGAGATGTCGTTTTTTGTCTGAAGGAAAGCAGAGTGGGTACCAGTGTGACACGCCGCTCTGTCCAGCCTGCGGACAGAAGCTGCTCCTGCGCAGCTACAGCCAGCTGGTCAGGGCTGGACACAGTGCTCAAACACCCAACACTTAGTCTTCACTTATCCCAGGGGATCAACAGCTCTCAAACAATCAACAAACGTGTCTGCTGACCATTTACGTTTTATTCAGACTGTATTTGATTTGTATTTTATTTTTATTTTACACTAGGGATTATATTGAAGATTGTTTCAGAAAGCGTAATAATTAGAGTTAATTTAAAAATCAGTGCAAGAAAGTTTTGGATTTGTATTCTGGGAGGATGCACTGCGAAGAAGAATAATTAACTCTGAATAATGCCTGTCTAGGGCCAGAGCTGTGATACGATCATACTTCATGCTGTCTTATTTTCACTGGTCGATTGATGAGGGTAACAAAAACAGACAAGTGTTGCGTGCAGGTTTTTGCGTTGAAATTGCGGTTTTCTCTCCTAGCCTGCTGTTTGCAGTGACCCTGGCCAGTGACACGAGCTGTGTGTGAGGGCGGGCTGGAGTCCGGGCCGGCCCAGTCACTGACGCCTGGACAGAGCGTCGTCCTCCTCCTCTGGCCCCCCCTGAGCGCCGCCGGCTCCGCGGCCAGGACGGGCACAGATCCTGTGTCACCAGCCTGATCGCTCGGGGACAGGCTGCTTCTCAGCTCTGGAAACGTGTGCTCACTGCGTGCTTTGCTGAATTCAGTGCTCTGTGCTCTCGGGAAACACTGTGATGGCTTCAAGTCTCTCTGCCCTCTTCGGGCCCTGGGAGAAAATTGACTTTATAACAAATCCAGACCAGTAGAGTCTTCCTTCACATAGCAGAACAACTTTTTACGTTTCAAGTTCACTACCAACAGCTGCATCAACAGTCGTGTTATAGTTTACTGGAGCTCAGGTAGTTAACAACAGCTTGGTTTGTAACTGTAAAGAAACTGCATGGTTAGCTTGCACATACGTGCAACATTATTGTTATTAAGCATTAGTTGATCAATGAGCACACTTTCATATTAAGGAATGGAGAGAGAATCGCCTCAGAAAATATTTTGAAATAAGTTCTTAATAATTATTTGTTTTTAAATTGCACCATGAGACCTACTCTGCACCATTCGTTTCCTGGGTTGTGCTCAGTGACAGTCCTTCTGCAGGCTGCGGCTCGCTCTGCAGTAGCTCCAGCAGCTCCGTGTGATGTAGGACTCGGATGTGTCTGGGGAGCAGGGTCTCCCAGGACAGGCTTGGTGTTCCTGCAGCCTTCCACTCCCAGAACCAGAGCTTGCTGGTGTTCATGCTCGCTGTGGAGGCATGCCCTTGAGTGAGTTGATTTATCAGCCTGCGAGTACACAATTTGTGGAGTTTTTTTGCACTTATTGATAATTTGTGTATTCTTTGCTTTTTCAATGAAAGTGAATGATGTGTTAAATTTCAGATTTTTAAAGATTTCCTTGTTTGTTTCTCTCTGTTTTAGTCCTTTGTTTTCACAAACGCCTGTTTTGCTCTCGGTCCGTGTCATTTTTCCCCCTTGGCCGAGTGCAAGTTGAGTAGGAGTGCAGAGTGGGCTGCTGTTGCACCTGTGAAGAATTCTAGTGCACAAACAGGCTCTGTGAACAGGGGGCTCAGTGCCTCAGTCCCTCAGTCTCAGCTCTTGCAGCGGATTGCAGATGTGGAGCCCTGAAAGTGTGATCCATAGCACGTCTCTGGCAACCAGTTGCAACACACCTACCATTGTGAGAAAAGGTGGTTTTAGGGTGTTTCGTCCTGCAGCATGGCTGGTTCATCCAATGGAATGACACATTTTTTACAAACTCCTGGGGACTGGGCACAGAATGAGCAAAAAGGACCGATACTGAAGCTTTATTCTTCTCATCATGCCAACAGCAGCATACAATCCCAACATTGCTGGCACAGTAGATTCAGAGAGATACTGTACCTGCTGTACATCACAGCCATTCAGTCACAAGGCTAAGTGATTATGGCCAGCACTCTCGATCTCTGGACTGTACAGTCCAGCAGTGCCTCGCTGTGGTCTGTGTGTAATACGAGTGCTCCTGACGGCCAGTCTGTGCAAATGCTGAATTAAGATACTTGGGACTTTTATTTACCAATACTTGAAATGTATCCCCAGAAACTGGAAAGAGTCTTTGTTCCAGACATCTATATCATCATTACTGCTGTTATTGTAGCTTTTGTTTTAAAAAAATGTTGCTATGATTCAATATATATTTGATTGCCAGTTTATATATTTATTTGATTGCCAGTTTAATGGAAAATAAATGTATTTTTTTCTTGTTTAATCTGTTGGATTCCTCTTTTTTTCTTTGACAGGTTCATATTATTTCATTTTCCAAAGAATTATAAATTTCTTTCATACCACCGAAACAGTCATTTTGTGTTTTAAACATCTGAGGGAAGGGATCCTTGTCCTTTACCAACCAGTGCTCATTTCATTTAGGCTCCATCCCTCTGTACAGATAACTGGATATCAGGGAAAACCAGCTGGTCTCCCAGAATTGTTTCCAAGGTTTTGAATTTGGTTCTTGTAGAAGGTGTGCTGTTTATGTCAAATGTCATTTGACCCAGGATGGACAAAAACAGTTGGGTCTTTACCTGCTTTTACTAGGGGCCACCTCAGTTTGTGACTCGCCGTCCCAGCTGGCTGTCTCACTTGTTCATGAGAATAGTCTAATAACTGGCCAGCAGTTCTTTTTTCTCTGATTTTGGTGGCTCTGACACTGATTACAGTTCCTCTGACTGGTGTCTGGACCCTTGGATCAGCTGCCTTCAGCTCCCACTTCCGGGCTGAGCCACCAGAAGCTGGAGCCGAGCAGACCTGTTGAGCGGGGTGGACCGCACAGGCAGCAATATTTTACTTCCTCGGAGAACCTGACACCAGGCCCTCTGTCCTCTTCCCTGTATCCGTGCTCTGACGTCAGGAGTGAGTAGCTCCTTGGCAATGGCATTATGCTTTCATTATGCCTACAGTTCTTATGGATCCATCTCAGGTGCATTCATGTTACCAAGGTGGTTGGTTTTACAGATGATGTCTGGGTCTGGTTATTGACATTCATCCAGCATGCTCTCCTGAACAAGCCACAGATCACACAGGCGCCGTCCTTCGGATGAGATGTAAAACCGAGGTCCTGACTCTCTGTGGTCATTAAAAATCCCAGGGCGCTTCTCGAAAAGAGTAGGGGTGTAACCCCGGTGTCCTGGCCAAATTTCCAATTGGCCCTTACCAATCATGGCCTCCTAATAATCCCCATCTATGAATTGGCTACATT